CCTGCAACAAGGAAGATAAAGTTGGCAGGCTAACAGACAAAAATTGAGAGAATGGCCACAAATAAGGGCTACAATTTAAAGCTGAAAGTCAGGACTTTATCTTCAATCGCTATTTCATTTCCAAAACATGGGCTCCTTAGGGACTGTTCACATAATTTCTATTGTGAAGATTAAGGCATACTCTGTAACAGCTCATACTTTTAAATTAGAGAAACAAAAAAAAAAACAGGAAACACAGAGTCAACTGGAAAGCTTAAAGCTCAGATATTTAGGTTCAGTGATAAGAAAAACAACCGATTACATAAGCAATTAACTGGAGATTAAGACCTCACACAGAATGTCTCAAGAAAACAAGTTTTCTTGTCTTCATCAGGGCAACATTCTAAATGTCAAAATAGCCACAAAGGTTTGGTGAATAAAGAACCAGTGTAGTAGACGGTAAAGAAGTTCCTGTAAATTGGTCAACTTCATGACAGTGGAAGTACAATCCAGCCTAAACAATACACTGTAAATCCCCTTTGTGGAAAGTTTTGGTTCTGCCCATGATGTGGAATTTGATCTTATAAAAAGAAATACAATGTGCCGTGCATTTAAATGATAGTAAACAGATGTATTTTTAATACTGGAGCATTAGTGTCATCAGATTTGAGCTGAATAAATGCCTGGGAGTTTGTTTTGCCAACAAGTTCGACAAATTGACCATTGTTATCTTAGTGAATCACGAGCAATCTCCTGTTTATTTATTTACCTAGCGTTAACAAAACTGCATTCATCAGCATTTGGACAGGTCATCTTTAAATATTCAGACCCCATCTCCCCTCATATTTGCCAAGACAAATAACTGTCTAATGGCGCTTGAATTAGCTTTATGTATATCTGACAGGAAAAATAACAAGCCAACTAACTTGCCGTTGTCAACCAGTATTTAAAACACAAGACAGACACCAATCACCAGGTTCACAATCATAGTTAAGTCTTGTAAACAAGGACTGGTCCAACGGAGAAGCTAACGCGAAGAGGTAGCTAACTGGACACTGTTGTTAGCTACTACTGTTAGCGCGGACCGGGCTTGTGCCGAAAAGTGTTCCCCCGTGGAGATGTTTCCCCTGTTCAAAATTCGGTCTCATATAGCGACCCCCTCAGTAGTTGTGGTTAGGATAATAGAATTCAGGTTAGGGGAAACACATATCGGCGAGGAAGCAAATTTCGACACAACACCGGCTAACTTACCTTCGATTCTCACCGAGTTACTCTCGTCTGCAAACACCACGACAATACATCCATTATGTCATAGCTACGGGAAGTAACGCTACGGAGCAAGAAAATACAGCTATCTTTACCCCACATTTAATTATCTCGTGAAACCCCATGATTAAAAATTTAAGCTCACTTGATTTATAGTATCATCATCGCATAGCAAGTTTTCCGGATTGATCTTTGAAAGAAGTATCGCGGCAAGATGAATCACCGCTACAACACCCTGAACGTCATGTGACCACATAACAGTGCGTACGTCAAATTTGAATGTTTTATTCTGACTGTCTTTACCGGATGTCTGAGTTAAAGTATGCCCTGAGTGTTAAGTCCAGTGGCCACGGCGAGTAACTATAACGTATATTAAATATATTTGAGTAGAAGAAATAAAAAAAAAGGAAACGAAATGCCAAAAAAGTCAGCATAGACTCATAGCACACAGGGGAGGGACAGGGGTAGAACAACATTATACTACAACTTCCGGTTAGGACATTCAAAATAAAGCTTTAAGAATAGACAGAAGTGGAGGCACTATTTTATGGAAACAGAGTTGTTACACCTGAAACAGACGATTCGAAACATTATCGTCATTTCAAAGCTAACGTGCGGTGTAGTAATGTATAAGTGCCTCAAATCAACACAACAAACGTTACCGGTCCACCGCTAGCCATGTCCAACAGTGCAAGATAATAAACTGTAACATACTTCCGGTTTTGTTAAGAAAGCAGAATAAGGCATTAAAACAAGATTTTGGCAAGATAATAAGCCATTCTATATCACAAATATCATATTACATTTCGCCTATGCACTACAAAGTGTTTAGGTCTATAAAAACAAAACTTTTACATTGAAATAGTTATACCCTAATTAGTGAGCAAAAGAGTAAAAATTACAATTAAATATGATTAACTGTGTCACACAGCATAAAAATATGAAAGTCTTGATTCATAGGTTTTCACTGGTGTGTTCTGTTTAAAAATAAATGGGGGAATAGATTGTTGACAATGTTCTGCTTCAGTTTGCACCACAAAGGCCTTTTCATGGCTTTATATGATAATGAAGTTAAAAATAAGCAAAAATGACAAACTATTTTATAACTCATTCTTCTTCATGAACTTACACAAAACATTTTCTGATATATTTGTCAGAAATATTTTATGTTTAGTAAAGAGTGGCGTTTTTGCAGATCCCTAATTAAGCCAGTCTTAAAGGTTGTTATGGAGGACCATGAATGCAAAAGGGATTTCTCTAGTAACTGACTGAACAAAGCAATTTAAAATTCAAATTTCATACATACACATTAAGTACAAGTCAGGTTAAAGGAGAAAATTAAAAGCTGTTTATTTTGATATCATATGATATCATATCAGTTTAAAACAACCACACCACACTGAGAAACAAAATAATAGGAAAAAAGATTATAGTCAAGACTGAAAAAAATTAAGTTCATACATGTCTGTCCACTGTTTTTTTTTTTTCTTTTGAGGAGAGGGGAGGTGGACAGTGCGACAGAGGGCTGCGGAGCATTATCATACAACCTGCTCATCCACTCATTTCACAATTTAGGCAGGTTATTTATATATACAGCCACCATGATGATACAAACAGCAAGTTTTCTAGTTGTGGTACAACTGGAAAATGTCTATACATCAGAACCAGTACTTTCAATTAAATTGGAACTTTAATTAGACAAATGGCGCATAAAAACATTTAAAGTTGTTGCTGACTATTTTCTTTGAAAAGAGAGACCATGTGAATGTATATGGTAAAAATAATTCAGAAAGTTAGTGCAGTGACCATTTTGTGATATCAGTTATGCTGTCTTATAACTACAGTGTCTGGTTTTAGGTTTTCTGAGGTGCATTTTATGTGCAGGCCTGTGAGTCTTCTGAGTACCTGGATAAAAACAGTAGAAATACAGCAAAGCTAATCTACTCACACACTGGACATAAGATTAGGAAAACAGCTCTTATAACAGATCTATGGCATAGACATTAACAGATCTATGGCATAGACATAATGGGTGTATGATTAAAAAGCTCAACTCGTTTAAATACAAAAGGGAATCGGTGAGTGCTGAGAAATCCCAAAAGAGTCAACAGTACTGGGAAAAATTGTAAATTGCATTTTGATTCCTTAAAAGTGTTTCACTTCAAAACGAACTAAGTTCACTCATGGCTTTCCTTGGAAACAATTGTTGGTTTTTGTATTTAAAACAAATTAGAGGTAGCTTTGAGCTTTACAAATACATTTCTAAAACACTCAAATATGAAAAGTTTGCTACTAAATAACCACACACCCACACACACAGTTGATCATGGATTTAACACAATTATAGCCATTTTAATGCTTTTGGTTATAGGTCATACCTAAAGTGATACTCCCCACCAAATATGTTTTAGCATCTATCTCTTTATTATAGACCTGCTGACTCTGGACAGGATGTTGACTGGACAGTACTGTTATGTATATACAGTAGATGGCCATAACAGAAGTAAATATAACAATAAAGAAATAGTTTAAGAAAGTTTCTGTCACTTTTACTCCTTGAAAAATTGTACCTGACCTGAATAAAGGTCAAACACATCAACTGTTCGATTTGATCAATAAAATGATCAGTATCCAGCTTTCAAAAGGTTAAAGTTGTTTTAGCTTTACAGTATGTGTTAACTTTATACAACTTTGATGAAACAGTCAGGGTGATATCAGTGTGATAAATTTAATGACAGTATTGCTGTTTCCTGTCAATCCCTTGCGAAAATGGCGGACTCGACCACTAACAGTGATAGAGAGGTAATTGCAGAATCTGAATACACTGAGCAGCTATAGATGAGAAAAATGTAAAGCCAAAGCAACCTTAAAACTCCATTTTATTCCATGGAAATTTTAAGGAATATAACTTTAAGTGCTTGAAACAAGATAGACGTTGGCTGGAGTACCACTTTAAACCTGTCATTCCTACTTTATGCCACAAGATGGCAGTACATGCTCATTTAATTACAGGGCTAAACACTAAGTTTGCTACAAATCAGAATGAGAAAAATAAAATAAAGTGGACCCCGTTCAGGGACTAAGCGGTAGAAAATCAACGAAAAATAAAGTGTACATATACAGTAACACACTCATTTAAAGACCTTAAAATGCATGGAAAGATAAGAAAAAGCCTTTGCTAAAAGTGTGCCCAAAATAGTTTATATATGTGTTTTGTGTTTAATGTGGTAATTATTACCTTCTTTAGAGGAACCTGTAGCACTGTATTAAAAGCAGAAGTAGGACCTATAGCGCATTTGGTCATGCTGACCTTGGCCCCTCCACTTTCATTATAAACATCATAAAGGGACATTAGGACCAAAGTGGCATCCATAGTCTGCTCTGTCATTAGATCATTCCTCACCTCCTCATATGGGTGGAATTCTAATACATAAACTCCCTCTCTGTCCTCTCTTTAATCCACCTGGCCTTTTAGAGGTGAAGTAGGTGAGGTGAAGTTGCTCATCTCTGATTTCATGGAACTCTCTATCATTCATTCGACCCATCACTCATCGTTACTTTTGTATTTGCCTTGCTCTATCTCTCAGTTACTCCCCCAGTTGTTCTCTTCTGTTGTTCCCTCAGCTTTGTCCTGCTCCTCATCTTCCTCCTCCTCCTCCTCTTCCTCCTGTGCTGCTTGGATCTGCTTGACCGACTCTCTCATGCAGGGAAACTTGTCTGACTGCTCAGTGGTCGCTGTCTCTTGGTGATCTGAGGAGAGAATGGGTAAGGACAAAGGAGGCTAACATCTGGCTTTTCTTTTGGTGATTGTAATGATGTCTCATAAGCTTCATGGAGTGTGTTTGGTTGAGATTGAGGTGCTTCTGGGTGGACAAGGAGACAATGGTACTGACTGTAGAGATGAAACAATTAGCCATTGGTTGATTTGTCACGCTATGAAAATGTCAACAATTTGGATAAAAAATGAATTATTTTTAAGCAACAATGAGGAAAATATCTTCTTCAAGCCTGTCAGATGAGTATATTTGCTCCCTTTCCAATTATTATGACAGTTTTTTTCTTTCTGTGATAGACTGAGCCCAAACTGTGTTGCCTGACCAAAAGAACAGATGCACTGTAAGCAAAGGACCCAGTCTGGATTTTTCAACATCCTGTTTGGCTACTTGTTGTTTCAGTGTGCTTCCACATGGAGATTTGTTGAAGGAGCCTGTCATCTGGGCTGACAGAGCAAACACTTCTGAATGAGATATCACTGTTCTCATGTGATAAAATGAATATTAGAAACCTATAAAACATAGAAGCAGAGTATACATGCAAAAAGTTCACATCAACTTGAGATTTGTATTTCTTGGATTAGTTTTGTTTGAAATCAGATTTGCACAAATACATTGTTGCCAGGGCCGACCCAGGCTCTGTTGCTGCCCTAGGCAAGATTTTAGATCAATTTTAAGGTTGATTTTAAAATATAACATAACGTAACATTACATACAAGTATTAACATAAATAAGTAGTAAATAATTTGTGATAATTAATTTGACCATCTGAAGAATCACACTTTCTTTGCAGCAAAGTCATCAATGACTGCATCAAATGACAAATTCTGAAAAACATCATAACGTAACATTACATACAAGTATTAACATAAATAAGTAGTAAATAATTTGTGATAATTAATTTGACCATCTGAAGAATCACACTAAAATTTAATTAGAAATTAAAGTGCAAATCAATGAAAGTGCAAAAAATACAATTATATTCAGAATTACAAAACAGTTTCAAAACTGAACACGCCTGGATGTCTTTGCAGGAAAGTCATCAATGACTGCATCAAATGACAAATTCTGAAAAACATCATTATTGATGCTGATGACAACAAGTCCACTGAGATGCTCTTGGGCCATGGAAGACCTCAAGTAGGTCTTAATCAGCTTGAGCTTTGAAAAGCTCCTCTCTGCAGCTGCCACAGTCACTGGGATAGTCACACTTATCCTCAGTGCCACCCACATCTATATTGTTCTTTTTTTCTGTTCCTCTTCTTTGCGTCGCTTCCTGCCTTGTGCCCCTGATAATTTTCTTTTTTCACTCATTTTTTAAAAATGGCACTTTCAGAGCACTGTCAATGCGTTATGATGATGCATTATAATTACATCATGACTCAAAGTGTTTAAATTAGTACATGACATGTTTTCAGATCTTATGATTTTTCATTGATGTCAATTTTATTTTATTCTAACATTATTTTAATCACTACAATGATCAATCAGTACTAAAATTGTTAACTGTCAGTAATTATTTTGCTTATGGGTGTAGGAGCACATGCTGGTCACAAAACAAAACTTTCATCCCCCCCCATTGCCACGGACCAGCCCTGATTGTTGCAGCCTATAATTGAGACTCAGTTGACAGGTTTAATACTCTGCGCTAAGCATGAAATAACAGAGGAAGAATTGAAATAGAGTAGAATACGGAACAAGATTACTGTGTTATTTTGCACAGACAGCAAGCTCTCAGCATGCCTGTCTGTCTCTACAGATTTGAAGGGAGAGACAGAGGACAAATATGACACTGGGGCTGTTTCTCAACACACACAGCTTCACCTGTGCTGCTGGTCAGCCCACAGAGGAGCTTACCCTGAAAACTGCATAGAGTCTCTCCACCAAGAGCAGCTCAACTCTACCAGGATAAACAAGGTTTTTATATGTCACATTTGTATGTTTAAAATATTTTTAATTGACGTGAACTGATTAAGGATATGATTAGTGGTGAATGATTAAAGACAAAAACTTTGACTAAACATATAAATGTTTAAATCTCATTGCGACATATCTGCCTTTTCAACTTTTCAAGAACTTAGTGTTGTACACTATTTAAGGACAAATGGGAGTAGTGATTTCTTGCAATGAGGTAAAAATTTGTCTTCAAATCTCAAACTGTGTGAAATGCAAACACCATTAGGATAAATATGAAGGAAAAGGGCAAACTCTAGCATTCACACAAACCTGAAGGAAAACTACGCTGTGCACCACATGTTGTATATCACTAGTCTCTGTTTGCTGCTTTATTTTCTAATCAATATTTGTCATTTTCATTTTTAGCACAATATATAGAATTCTACTGATTTTCAAGATTTTATGTGCAGGTGACTCAACTCCCTGCAATTTTCAAATAAATATCATCATCTGGGTTGTGATCTAGAAACATGATTATTGCTGCTTTAGAAAGATTAAATTGTTTTTCTTCTTGATTATATTTGCACTGGAAATGTCTAAAAGAGACATCACATCATTTATCTTATTTTCCATTTTCCCAGGGCGATAGAAAAAATACACACCACCAAACCAAACAACTAACCCAGTCCTAGAAAATCAAGGCACAGTGCCAGGTGGTCTGTTTACAATTGTGTTAAAGTGCCACAGGGTGTGTTTTTCCTTTAGAACATAAAAACAACAGTGTTATGCTTGCTGCCACTGTGTGCAGTGTTACTACTGGCTGTATGTTTTGGACCCAGCCAGTTGACAGAGAGTCTCCCTCCCACCAGCACCTTTGGTAAGAGATGTGTCCTCTCCTTCCTCTCCCTCCCAGTGACCCTCCTCCTCCTCCTCCCCTTCACAGGGGTCTTCTAGAGGAACGTAGACTCCAAGCTTCTGCATATGTGCTTCAGCCATCTTCTGCACAGCTGCACAGGTAAACACAAGACACACCACAAGGGGACAACCACACAAACACAAGGACAAAGACATGGGGATAGAAGGATGTTGTTTGGGTTTTACCACGCTTCAACACTGTCAGTTTTTATCAAGCCTCATGAGGGTTTTTGAATTCATGCCAGCCAGGCAGGAAGCCAATTAAACACATGCACTGACAGACAGGCAGGGAACTGCAAAATGGTATCCCACACTGATTTTTACAGGGAAGCCTCCACCGTTGTTTTCTATCCCTTCTCTCACCCTGTTCTTCCATCTGTTTGTTTGTGCCTTTGTCTTTCCCCGACTGCTCACCCTCCTCAGCTGTCAGGCAGTGCTGACTCACCCTCTTCTTCCTCTCTCTCCCTTATTTTGTGATATTACATCAACACCACACCTCTCACTTCTTCTGGGTCACCTTGGCCTCTTAATCTCTGTCACACCTCCAGATGCAGAGTGGAACTGATGCAGGTCACATATTACAGCTTAGGTTATGTAATTAGATATTAAAACAAGGTAGCGCTCGCTTTCAACTCTCTGCTTATGAGCAGATGAAGGCCAGATTTGTGATGCAGCATTGAGGCTTCCTGGCACATTATGTCATCACTCAATATGCACCACACTCCCAGAAATCCCCATTTAATGAAACTCTGCTGACAAGCTAAGCAATGTATATTTTTGCTCCTTTAACAGCCACATGCAATAGCCCAGAAGCCACATCGATAAAGACGAAAGAAAGTACGTGATTGTGCTCAAATATGCATTTCTATGATATGTGTGCGTTCATGTGTGTGTGTGTGTGTGTGTGTGTGTGTGTGTGTGTGCCACAGCTGTATACACAACTGACTGTAATCCTGGATGATCCAGACCTTCGTAAACTCACACTCAGTGTCTCACAGCTGTCACACTCTAATCTCTCTTTTTCTCCCTTTCTCTATCTGTCACACACAGATATAGCAATCCTGCGGTTGAGTGCACAATAAGAGATGTGCATATCACACATGCATAGAATAAAAAGTAAAAAAGGCTTTTAACAGTACCCATCTGTCGCATGCATTATTTGTGTTTTATCTGCTATAATGAAGCATGGAAAGCAAGGAGGAAACTGATGGTAGCAAAGCACAGTAAAACAAGAGAAGGGATGTGTCACAGCACACAGAACCACCACCTGTAGTATCAATACTACATGTACCGACCTTTGAGTGACGGAGGCTGATACACGTTTGGATTGACACGTTTCGGTTTGAGCACTCCGTTCTCTCCAACGACCCACTGTAAACAACACATTTCTCCTTAAAGAGCCCATCGAGACAGGTTTAAAGACAGAAAACACTCTGCTTGTGTATGTTATCTTTTCCGAACAGTAAAGGCTTTTTCTTTTGAATAACCTCTACTCTGATACAAATCTAGATTTTGCATGTCCTTGATGACACAAGTTCAAAGAGGAAGGCAAAGTTTGACAGATACTGTATACTGCACATTTTATGCACAATGTAAAATTCTAAATGCTTTACAAATATCATAAAAGATAATGATCAATTCATTGTATTAAGAGACATAACCCAAGATATTTTTTTTTCATGGCTGCACCTTTACCTCAAATGAAAACACTGTGTATGCTTATCATTGCCTTTATTTCTATGGTATAGTCCTCACGTGTGCTGGTCACGTGTGCAGTACCATATTTGCAAGACTAGCTAGTCAGAAATCAGATATTTCCATGTGGGTCCTGCTACACATGTGCAACGACGGATATGTTGATGCAGCATAAATGAATATTTCCTCGAGGTCCCACCTAGCATATTTAATCTAGTCACCTGTGGAGTGTCATAAAAATTTAAAAAATTAAAAATCTTATCACATGTATCACTTTTCTTGGTTCTTCCAGACCTTTTTCATCATGTGATGACTTGTGCTTTTCCTCAGAGAACTTCTTTTCTCAAACTGCTATTTCTAAGTTTCACAATCAACAAATTTAAATGAAAAATTCTTGGTTTTGAATAATGGTTGATGACACGACATGCATTTGTGATTATGGACACACCAAAGGACCCAACATGGGGGTGGGGGCTGATATTTATGTCACAGACAGTAGATCACAGCATTCAATGTATTGCAACACCAAACTGGTACCTTGCTCCTGAGTAGGGTGGAAAAATGAAGAAACACTGGAGGAAGACAGATGAGATTTCACAGACACTTATTAAAAAAATGTTTTGACATCACCTTTACCTGATGGGTGGACTGATCATCTTCAGGAGATGACTGGTCCGCTACTCTAAACAGCGTGGCAGGTGTAGGCCTCCTGCGCCGGATCTATAAACAAACACACACAAACATGAAGGGCAGCCATACATAAATGAATAATCAAACCAACCAACTGTATTATTAATAATGCTCAACACAAAGACTCATTAATCAGATGAAAAATGTTGACAGTTCATGCCGGTGAAAGGCATGCTGGGCCTTTGCTGACTTCATTAGTGCTTCAGCTCAGTTGGCTGATGGGTCAACAACTGACAGCAAGTTTCAGCGCTCAGTACTGGTCAGGTCAGAGTGAGCGATAAGGTCAGTAGAGCAGAGAAAGAGCCATTATGTAACCTTCTGCTGTCATATACAGATACAGTAGACTGTAAAAATAATATAGTGTAGAATTGAAACTAAGCTGATGTCTGCTGCTCAAGTTTTACAGTAAATTATCCAGCATTTAAGAAGTGGTCAATTTATATATGGAATTTATTTGAAATGAATGGCCTCCTCACACAACACATAATGTTGTAAGTGTGTTTGATCACCTGAGTGCAGCATTTATAGTCATATACACCCATGGAAAAGGTGAGTTAAGATTAAATGAGCCCCAGAAGTCAGCTCAGACACTCCCCTCCTCTGTCCAGGCTCCATCCCCAGCACAACACTCTGCTTCCTGGAGGCTGAGGCCAGGTTGCTGAGGGCTTGAGAGCACAACCGGAGCCAGACGGACTGCATGTGTTCTAGTCACTGTACACACTGAACTCTCTGTTCTTAGGAACAAATGTCCAGCTGTGCCCATACATCCCTCCAATACAGTATCATGCAGGAACAGAAAAAAGAACCTTCAGGCACTCTTAGGTGGAGCAAAGATTCCTTGCTACAGAGTGTCAGAAGGTTTTTCCTTTGATATTTTGGTCTGGCTAATCTTCAAGAGCACCTTAAGTTTTCTAGATTTATTGTTGGACTGAGAACATGTGGCTTTTCTGCATCAAATGGAACAGTATCATGCAGGGGCAGATCTAGAAAAGTTTGGATGGGGTGGCCAGGCATGGGCACAAACTAAGAGAGGGGTGGCACATTTGAAATACATGTAAAAAGTAAATTAAACCTCTAGTTCTATGAGACACTAAACAATACATTATTAAGGATCAAATTGCTTATTTTGTGTAAAATTGAGACACAAAGTGCTAACTTGTTAACTTTGGGTGCGCACCCTATGTACTCCCAATCAAGACATATTTAGTCACTATATTCTGAGAAGGTGGGACATGTCCCTAATATTTTGGGAGGACAGAAACATTCCTACCAATATTTGAGCAAACCCATGTTTATTAACTTTGGCATGGAGTCATATTAAATCATTCCGATGTGCCTGACTGAGTGGAAAGGAGGGACTGATCTAAAGCTCATGTTACGTGCAAATGTCATATTTGCTCCCAGACACAGATGGCAGTGTGTCCTGACAATGGTGTGGCTGACTTCATTCAAGTTGGAAAGATAGATCAACAAGTCTCAAGCGAAATGTTGCCAAAATACAAACAATGCCTATTTGGTTTCACTGTAATGTAGACAACAATTTTTACCAAAGTGAGCCAACCTCTGCTCCAGACAAATAATATTAGTCTCAATGTGCAGCCAGCTGTGAGACGAGTGCACAGGGGCCGTCTGCAAAGTGCAACACTGAAAAGAGAGAGGCCTGCAAAAATATTCAGTAACTTTACTTTTACCCACTGCAACAACATTTAGTTTGAAAAAATATGCTTTTTGTGGTGGAGGTGGGTGGGGAGTGTCCCTACCAGTGTTTAAGACCAAACCTATGCCCTTGCTGGTGAGTGTATATTTTCTGACAAATTGAAGACTTAGTGATACATTGATTAATCAAAAACTAGTGTCCAGATTAATTTATTATGAAAATAATCATTAGTTGCCACACATTTGCAGCAGAGAAGCTGATAATGCTGCAGGAGTGGTTTAAATGTTTTGTGCACATTTTGCACCATTTTTACACAGCAAAAAATTGCAACAGATATCAATTCAAGCTTAATGGCCTTTGGAGCAAACTGCAAACTTCACACAAACCACTTCTCAAAAAAACAGGAAGTTAGTTACTCAGAAGATAACTTTGCAGTTGGGTATCACTGTAGATAACTATACTGAAATGCTCTGAGCAGGATGTGTGGGCCTCCGCTTCACAGAGGATGCAGGGCTCGCTGCTTGTGTCTCACTTCTCCACAAATCTAAAGCATTAATAGCTAATATGTATAAAACTGCCTTTTGGGGAAGAACTTGCATAAAATAAGGAGTGCTGAGAATGCAAACTTTGCAGCTACAATACCCTTCAGAAATGTAGACACACGTTCCCTTTGACTGAAATGGGAAAGTGTCCAAAATGTTTGACTGGTAGAGTAAGTGGACTTGGCAGGTCAAACAGACAAGGCATTGAAAGCATCCTCAGGGGAGCAAGCCAACCTTGGCCATAACATGAACCTTGGTGCTGCTGATTATGGCACCCCATAACATCACAGGGCGTGAGATAAGTAGCCTGGCTCTATTTTCTGTAAAACTACTCCCTACAGAGTTGTTTTTGTGTTCAGCTTCCCTCCAATCTTGCTAAGAGATATGTACACCAAGGTGTGTGTTGCCAAAGCAGAGGCTTGCAGTAGAAGAGTAGTGGAAAGCTGCAGCTATAAAACAAAGTAATCAAGTGTGGGTTTCCTCTTTATTTATGACAGCAGACAGGTTTTAATCTCATCACACAATGTCCAGCTTTCAGGCCTTTCCTGGATCCATCAAGTTATCTGTCTTTCTCTCATTCACCTCTCATTTTTATCTCCTCTGTCTTGTTTTTCCATACACATCCTTCATTTTTTGATGGTGACATTACCCTCATCCAACTCTTAATCAGCATAATGTGTTGTAACTGAGATCATATTATTATCCTCTTGTTTGCTGACTTTTCTTTCCTCAGTTGATCTCTCTCTCTCTTTCTTGGTAGGGAATGTCCATAGGGTTCACTCTGACCTCCCTCCATTTCCCTGCATCTCACTCCCCTGGCAAGGTGTGGAGGCCTGGGGCTTTATGCTGCTGTGAACCCTGCTGCCTCTGCCTGCCTGACACCTGCTACCAGCTTCACAAGGCAGCCTGATGTGGCTCACATAGAGACCCAGGAGAGAGCAGACACCAGATGTTACCATGATGAAGCCTCTGCCCGTGGTATTAAAGTCATTAAACTGGGAAGACCACTGGATTGTTCCTCTATATTCTAGTCATGCAGATGTTTTCTGCTCATTTGCACATGGACGTTTAAGGTTATGGTAAGAGGTTCAAGGGTCAACAGAAAGTTTAATGGGAAAACATCATGGTTCTGCTAGTTAATACATTTACCATGCCAACAGACTCTCACAGACATTAACTCTAAAACTGAAACAATTATTCAATTTGTTTATTGACAAAAAATAACTAATTAATAGCAACTACTTTGATTGTTACAATTGCTGCCCCAAAATCTCAAGTTAGCTTCTGCTTTTCCCTTTTTACTGTTTATCATTGTAAAAGGAGCAAATATGAGAAGAAAACACAATGCTACATGGACTCTGGAAAACTGGAATGGACACTTCTATTTTTTCTTTTTTTTTGACATTTTACACACCAACCAAGAGTTTATGCAAAAGAATTACTGCTGATGCTGCACTAACCAGCCTGTCAGTCTCATTTTAAACTTGCTCATGAACAAGACCCTGCAATAGTTAAAACTCCTTTACATGGGGCAGTAATTCAGTCTAGATGGAGCACTCCATTTTGCAGCAAATAACCAGACTTGAAGGTGTTAACTGTCATCCCAGCCACTTGGCTGCAAACCGGCCCAGTGCATGCTGGGGGCCACTGTCTGATGAAGCCAGCTGAACCATATCATGTGCTGAGAGCAAAGAAATGTTTCTCCTCCTCACAGCTGCACCTTGACATAGTGTCCGTGAAAAACATAAACAGGATTTGTGACAAGAGGCAACAATCAGCTGGGAACATATTTCACTTCCAGTGAGGAACAGTAACAAAACTCTTGCTGCAGGTAAACAAGAACTGAATGGTTTGTAACAATGGCCTTGATATCCTGTACTCCCACTGCACCCTCCACGAGACCTGTCTGGGGGACACGGTCTAGGTCTATTCCCAGTCCATAAAACACATATAGACTGGATGTGCAAACTCTCACGACCCCTCCAGTATCCATGCAAATGTGTAGACTTACTCTCTGGTCCCCTTTCTTGAAGATGAAAACCATCACTGCCAGTCCACAGACACTGACACTGGAGAGGTGTATCAGCACGTCTGTGTTTTATACATGTTAATAAATTAGAAAGTGATGGTGGTGGTGTTGTGATGCTGGAAATCACAGATAGCATACACACACATAGGGGCTAGAATAGTTTTCCAGCCTTAAAACCACCACACTCTGTCCAAGTGACATAATATTGTGCAGTGTGTGACACTGTCATTTACACCAACACTAGGGCATGTCATATGAGATTACTCGCGCTATGCTTTAGCTCTTTAACCCCACCCTCTGCTACTTTTATAAACCCCCTGCCACCAATCTCTCAAACCCTCTCCTCCCCTGGCAGCCATTGTTTTTACAAAGATCACTCAGGCTGCAGCGGACTTGCGCTGAGAGGCTCTAAGCAGGGAGCTGATGTGACCTTTCAGCAGGTGCATGGGTGTATGCTCACAGTTTATCTAACGATGATGAGGGAATTTGAATAATGCGCTGACTCTGCATTGAGTGACAAATAGAGGAGGTGGATTGGGAGAAACTGTTCATTGAAAAAAATAAAACTAAACTGTTAAAATACAACTGATGTGTTTCATTAAATGATCATGCTTTTGTCTTCTTACTTTCATTGATTTGTTGATAATTTTCTTTAGCCTCTGTAAAGTCATTTCAAAGCCATATAAATACAAATGTTCTACATGGTTTGAATTTTTGTAATTTAAATTTACTTGGAAGCAATAATGTTAAGGTCTCCGGTGTTGGGCTCCTGCACCTCATTCTGTGTTGTGTGGGGTACACG